GTAGCTGGCTAGGTTTCCAGAACCAGGCATGATTTCCCTTTTGTTGAGCAGGCTTAAGTTTAATTGGAGAGATGTTGGTGACTGCCAAACTATTCATGCTGTTATTGGACTCTTAGGGTTATTGGGCCATGTGAGCCATTGTTTTTGTTCATAGGTATCACAAATGGATAGTACTGGGTTGATTCCCTCCTTAGGATGCTTACAGACACCTTCTGGTACCATGAAAGGAAGTCCTCAGGGAGGAGGTTTTTAGGTCAGATTCATCTCAGGATCCTCTGGGTCCTGCGTTCAAAGTGCATGGTGTCCTCTGGGAGACAAGCAAGGGCAACAGAAATAGCCTATCATGCAACTCAAAAGATGACTTTCATGCCTGGTGTTTGGGTTTTTGTTAGATGGCTTATGGGAATTTTCATTTAAAATATGTATGTGCACATATACATACACTAGACTTACATGTATTACAGGGTTTGTTGTTGTTGTTGTTTTTAGGTAGATAGTTAATAGTATGATTCCTTATGACTTTTCAGACATCTTTACTATTATTGTACCCTCCTTCTGAATTTATCTCCCATATCTCCTCCCCAATTAAAACTCCCTCCATTTTCCCCATTCCCCTTTTCAGATCACTTATTCATAGCTGCTACCCACAACACCCCATCAGAGCATTTTCTACGTCAGGAAACATAGGCAAAGACTGGCCATCCATAGACATATGTGATAACTTCTTCACCTGACTACCTAGGTACTTGTTCATCAAGCCATTCATTATTCACAGATCCATTCATTCAACAATGCCACATCAGCTCCATGTCAGGTTCTAGATGAAGTACCAAGGAAACTCAAAAGGATGAACAAGATGGTCAGAAACTCCCAAGATGGCTGAACAGTACTGACAGAAGATTGATGCACAGAGAAATAGAAAACTGTTAATTATAGAATGAAATTAAGAGGCAGTCGCATCTTTCATTAAACAAATAGTAAATAGCAAAAGATCACCATGTCGAAAAACAAGGACGTAGGAAGATAGTAAGATTATTCCATTTTTTAAAAAGATTTATCATGTGGTTGCTGGGAATTGAACTCAGGACCTCTGGAAGAGCAGTCAGTGCTGTTAACCTCTGAGCCATCTCTCCAGCCCCAGATTATTCCATTTTTGAAATGACAAAAGATTTTCTCAAATTTGAAAAAAAGAGGAGAGTTTGGGTTATTTCCAAAATAAATAATCATTTGATTAAAAAGGAAAGGACATCATTAGTATTTGCTTTGGGATATGTATTTTGTTGTTATTTGGTAGAATTAACATTAGATCACATTAAGTTCAATTGTATTTTACTCGTAGCTCATTTGATCCTAACCTGTTGTAACTTCAAGCCACCTCAAAGTCTGTTGTCAATCAAAATATATTTGCAGTTCTTTTGACAGATACAAAACCAGTTTGTAATAGAAAGATGGGAGGGAGAGAGAGAGAGAGAGAGAGAGAGAGAGAGAGAGAGAGAGAGAGAGAGAGAGAGAGACTGACCCAGCTTGCTTTGAAAGGTGACAGCTACAAATTCAGATGTGTCGGCTTCTCTCTATAATATCAGCTCTATCTGCTATCTGCCCCCTGTGACATCATCTTGTGTGGGGTATATATGTACGTATGTGTGAGTGTGAGTGTACATGTGTGGGTGCTGAGGTCACTGATCACCGTTGCGTGCCTTCCACAGTTGCTTTCCACCTTATCTTCTGGGCAGATTCTCTTGTTGAACACAAAGCTCATCTCTTTGGCTAAGGTGGGTGGACAAGAACTGCAGAGAGCCTCCTGTCTTCCCCTCCCTCTACAGAGCTTGGTTCACAGACTGCCATGCCCAGCCTTCACATCGGTGCTGGGACTCTGAACTCCTGTCCTCATGCTTGCTCAGCAGACACTTTATTGACTGAGCCATATTCCTAGGCCCTCTGTGATTTAAAAAAGTTTGTCTGGCCTCTCCAATTAGCTTATGATACATAATAATTACTGTGAGGTAATTAGGGTAGATTTTCTAGTCTGGCTCTGGTCAGTAGAACTTTCTGAATTTGTATAAAATTTATATCTCTACTGGTCAATATGGTGGTGGCCAGAATGTGTGGCTTCTGATTGAGTACTTGAAATGCAACTACTCTGACTGAGGACAGTTTAATTCAATCTTAAGAAACTCAGAGTTGTACCTAAATGGACATCTGTGAGTAATGGCTCTCATATTGCAGTGTATGGTTGAGTGTATGTGAGGTGTTTGTGCAGATGTACATGTAGAGACCAGATGTCAGTCAGTATCAGTGTCTTCCTCAATTGCTCTCACCCTTGTTTTTGGAGATAGTCTTTCACTGAACCTGGTGCTCAACGATTTAACAATCGAGCCCCAAGGACCCTCCCGTCCCTGCCTCCCCATTGCTGAGATTACATCTCCTCTGCCCCTGGACAATGCATCTTGAGAGACTCACCTTCCTGAAGGGAGCAAAGCACTTCTGTGTGTGAGGTACTTTGTGCAGAGACAAAGAGGCTCCCATGCTTCCAAGTTTTATTAAATATTACTAATCTATAATCCTTGCCTTAGTTAGGGTTTCTATTGCTGAGATGAAGCACTGTGACCAGAAAGCAAGTTGGGGAGGAAAGGTTTATTTGACTTACACTTTTGTATTGCTGGTCATTGTTCAAGGAAGCCAGGACAAGAGTTGAGACAGAACCTGGAGGCAGGAGCTGATGCAGAGACCATGGAAAAATGCTGCTTACTGACTTGCTTTCCCTGACCTGCTCAGTCTCTTTTACAGAACCCACAATGGGCTGGGCCCGCCCCCACAATCACTTATTAAGAAAATGCTCTACAGCAGGATTATGGAGGCATTTTCTCAATTGAGGTTCCCCCCTTTCTGATAACTCTAGCTTGTGTCAAGTTGACATAAGATTAGCCAGCACAGCCTCTTTGTTCCTCTAAGCATTTTGTTTATTCGATGTTCATGAAGCCACCACCATGTGAGTGGCCTGCTGGAGATGCTGGAGATACACTGGTGGGTAGACTGGGTAGAAACTCTGGCCCTTGTGTAGCAAATGAGGATGCCGTCTCTACTCAACAAATAAATAACAAACAAGTATGGAGTGTCAGCAAGTCAAGGACAAAGGTTGGAGGAGGGATGCTGTGGGATCTGTGACTGTGAACAGAAAAGGCCTTGTGGAGAAGACAAAGGAAGACTTGGTGGTCTGGCCAGGGAGTGTGCCGGTTGGAGGGAACTTGGAACCAAAAGGTCTAGAGTCGGTTGAGATCCCAACAGATTCGGGGGCAACTGGGGAGCTATGCTGGGAAGGAAAAGAATCTAGAAAAGACTTGCAGGGGCTGATCTCTGTGGAGGTGGATATCTGCCTGGGGCAGAGCCACTAACATTTGCTAAGGAGCTATTTTGGGGTTGTGAGAGAAAGAAGTCCAGGATGATTCCCAGAATTTGGGCCAATATGAGCAAAACTGTAGTGCTGTCATTTAGCCAAGAGGGTGGAGCACATTTATAATGTATCTTTGACAGATTAGGAAGAGGCTAAAGCATTTATGCTCTGTATCTGGAAATGAGCCACTACCCCCTTGCTGGGGCCATGACAAAAATCTACTATAGGCTTGGTTGTCATTTGAGAATCCTTCACAGTTCTCCTGGAAACCAGTATGTCTCAGAGCTGATGCTTGAGATAAAATCATCAGTGGAGTCCACTATTACTTGTTAGGAAGGTGGGGAATATGCGGTCGATTTCTCAACAGTTGTCAAATGAATGACTTCACTTTATATAATTGCTTATGTTAATGTGATTGATTCTTGAGAAATGCCTTTGAATCAATGCAAGGAAAAGATTGACAGGGCTAGGTAGATTTCTTCTCTGATACCTGGTTGTTGCATCTTTCATAGTTGACTAGAATCCCCTGCAACATGGGCTGATGTGTGCCACTGTAGTAGGATGCTCTGCAGAGCTACTGCTATTGCGATTCACATCTATTTCTTCGTAGTTTGGGTCATTGCAAATGATTGATAAGTGTTGGGTAGCTTAAATACATTTGAATTAACAAAAGGGGCCACTTCAATGTGACCTCAGTACATTAAATAACACTGTTAAACATTCATTAAGCACTTATTCTGTGCTGGATACCAAAGGTTTAGTAGTGCCAATGGGGAGAACTGTATGGGCAGTATTTCATCATCATTAAAGCAGTATTGATTGGGAATCTACTTCACAAACCCAGCTAGATACTAACACACAGCACAGCATGAGATCCAGTTCTCCCCTGATGTAGCTCTGTTTCACAGGGATGCTCTCCATACCGTGTACTTGTTCCACTGAGTATTCTAAGGTCACAGGAGCTTAGACATTCCAAAGAACATTGTTTTCCCTTTCTTTCCTTAGACATGTGCTAAGGACATTTTCTCCATGTTTGAAGGACAAACAGGTTTAGTAATTTCCCAAGAACACATACCTGAGCTATTGGGCAAGCTGTTCTCAGCGGGGTTGTTTTGGCTTCTAAGGGACACTCAACAATGTCTGTCAGAAGATGTTTTTTGCTTTCCCAGCTTGCAAGGTGCCTGTAACAGGAATAATATTGGGGTTCAAAATGAAAGATCAGAGAAGTAAAGTAGCCAAGCCAGTAGCTCTTACCTTACCTCAGATCAAAATGGGTGAACCTGTCTCCATGAATCCTCATAGTACAATCCATACTGCACTGCTCTCCACCAAGCCTCAGACTTCAATCTTCTGAGTTCCTGTTTCCTCTCACCTTATATTCCTCTCTCTGCCCAGCCATATCACTGCTGTCTCCGCCTCCTTAGTGCTGGATTAAAGGTGTGATCCCAAGTGCTGAGATCACCTTTGTGTGACCTGTTTCTCTTTTAGACTGGATCAATTTTGTGTAGCTCAGTGTGGCCTTGAACTAACAGAGATCCTTCTGCCTCTGTCTCCTGAGTCCTGGGATTAACGGTGTGTACCACTACTGCCTGGCCTCTATGACTGTGGTTAGCTTTGCATTTTGATCTCCAGTTGCTTTATTAGATCATAAGCAATATATCACCATGGGTGCCTCTGGTATGTAGTGAAGAAGCCAAGGAAGCTGCTAAACATCCTTCAGCGCATAGGGCAGGCAGGCCTACGATGAAGGCAATCAACCTAATGCCAGCTGCTTCAAGGTTGAGAAATTCCGTGTGCTTAACCTGGAGAGCATCAGAGCCGTGGTTCTTTTTAAGTCACAGGTGAAGGAATAATAATTCTAGAAACATGCATATATTGATATTTCACCTTAAAAAACTTAAACATGGAGAGAAACTCAGAGCCTGTTTCCAGGAATCGTAGTAGCAATCAGAGTCCTACTAGAGTGCAATCATGTCTATTGTGTCCTATAACAGAGGGGCTGTCATGGCCATGAAGGGAAAGAACTGTGTGGTCATTGCTGCGGACAGGTGTTTTGGGATCCAGGCCCCGATGATGACCACAGACTTCCAGATTTTTCCCATGGGTGACAGACTCTATATAGGCCTGCCTGGGCTGGCCACCAACATCCAGACATTTGCCCAGTGCCTCAAGTTCTGACTGAACCCATAAGAGCTGAAGGAAGGTTGGAAGATAAAGCCTTACACCCCCATGAATATGGTGGCCAGCCTCCTGTATGAGGAATGGTTTGGTCCCTACTATACAGAGCCTGTCATTGCTGGGTTGGACCTGAAGACCATTAAGCCCTCCATTTGCTTTCTAGACCTCATTGGCTGCCCCATGGTGACTGATGACTTTGTAGTCATGGGGACCTGCTCCAAACAAATACATGGGATATTCGAGTCTCTCTGGGGGCCCAACATGGGTCCAGAACACCTGTTTGAAACCATTTCTCAAGCCATGCTGAGTGCTGTGGACCGGGATGTTGTATTGTTCATGGGCATCAATGTCCACATCATTGAAAAGGACAAGAAGGCCTAGATGGACTAACACTGTGCTCTGGTCCCAGTTTCCTTTTGTTGTTTTCTTTTTAATAAGATTGCTTTTCTTAAAAGAAACAAACCAACCAACCAAACAAACAAACATGAACCAGCAGATCTTTCACATCCAAATCACTGCAGGTCACAGGAGGCATGCCTGTGATAGTTTTGCAGTCCTGGGTTCCTTCTGCCTAATTTGTTTCCTGTTCCATGACATAAAGCCTTTGTCACATACCCTGTCTACTGTGAGGCTCTGCTTGACATACATCTATAATCCATGGATCCATGGAGTCCTATCCCTCTGACACTGGGAGCCAAAATAAACCTGCCTTCTCTGAATTTGTCCCCGTGAGGTGTTTTGACACAGTGATGAGAATTCTGACTAATGCAGGGGTCTTTAGACCATGAAGTCTCCCAGCATCTTCAAGTTTCCTATTGCTTGCTGTCTGATAAAATGTATATCTTCTGGTTGGGTTGGCCATTGTCTTCTTTCCCCACCTGGTTTGTAGTTTCATGAAGACAGAGATTCTGCTCTTCATTTCATGCTTCCCTTCACCACACGGTACAGTGAACAACCAATTGCTCTTTCTGACAAAACTAACACAGTGTGGTGGGCCCTGTGAGCGCAGCTGAGTGGGACTTCTAGCCAACGGTTTCCAAAGCATGGACGACTTCAGCCAAACAGCCTAGAGGGAATGTCCTGCCCACAGTCACGTGAGTGAGTTTGGAAGAGAATCTTTCTCCACTCCGGTTCTCAGGGAGATTACTGACCTGGTAACCTGGTAATGATGTTCTGTACTTTGTGAGATGCTGTGAAATAAGGATCCATGACCCACAGAACCAGAGAGTTTTGACCCAGCAACACTATAAACAAAAATATTGTTTTAAACTACTAATTTAGGTGGCAACTTGTTAAGCAGCAATAGCTAACTAATACATAATAAGTTAGGACCCAGGGAGCAGAAAGATGAGTAAGAAATGAGCTTTCACCTCAAGGTACAGTTTTGTGGGAGGCTTCATCTTACCTGTGAGCACAACTGTGGAAAAAAAGTGGAAAAAGCATTCCACACACAGACAAAGGCTTGCCCAAAGACATGGAGACTTAAGAGTCTAGGAAGGGAGGCAGGAGTTCAGACAGGGGCCATCGCCAAACTCTTGAAAGGCTGGGCCTGGGATTTTCTTATAGGTAATGGGTACACCAAAGTATTTTGAGCACTGCAGTATGTTGGAGGAAGCTGTGCCAAAAAGGATTTTACATTTGGAGTCAGTGGATTACACTGTTAAATTGTTTTAAGTTGCATTTCTTAAATGCACAAGAAATACATATATTTTCATTGTAAATAATTTATGCAAAGCGAAATCACCTTACAATGTTTTTAACCTACATTTCTCTTCCTTAAAGGGATGCTGGCTTCATTTGTTGTGTTACACACAGTCATATGCTGGGGCAGGCTATAACTCTGTTTGTAGTGACATCATTTTAGTACCTAGAAATTGAGTAAATTTGCCTTACCTTGGTAACGACCTCAAACCAGAACCGTGACCTACCTTCCTCACCAAAGATTGCTTGCCAGGATACCTCTAGTTATGTGTATCTTTTAAGGTCAATTTCCTCTTACTTAGAAGTAAAACTTTAATTCCAATTGCTAATCTAAAGATACGCATCTTAGTGACTCAAATCGGCTGCCCCAGCATCACAATGCCTGAGTTCAAATCCTGACTCTGCTGTACCCTAGGTGACCTTGTATGAGTTACCACACTCTGTGCCCTCAAGTCCTTTCTCTGTAGGATGCAGATAATAGCACATTTATCATGAGGATGAACTGTATGAATATGTACAGTGGGTCCTATAAAAGTGGTTAATATTAATGTTAATATATTTGGGGCCATAGTGTATGTAATGTTCTAACTTTACCTTCTTTTAAAACATTGTATCTTGGAGAGTTTAGAGACACCATGCCCTTTTAAATTAAAACATTATTCTGAGATTACTGTAAATTCTCATGGATCTGTAAGGACACCTACAGCAGTACTAAGCACTGGTAACATTGTACAAAGCCAAACTACAACAGCTCAACCCCGATGCTGGCATGGATGCAGCCTAGATATGGGTTGGTTGCATCCTGAAAGCATGCTCTACTCTCTTGTAAGAGCCACATATGATTTCTTTTTTCCTAACACCATCCTTTATCCCTGGAAGCGACTGGCCTGGAAGCTGCTTGTATGTTCTCAGTTTCTGTAGCTTTTGGATTTCAAAAACCGATGCATGACATAGTACAGGAGGCAGTCTTTGGGGACTGGGGCTGCTCACTCAGTGATTCTCAGGGGACTGGTTCAGTTGCCTGCATCGAAAACTGGTACTTTCCGTTGCCTGGTGGTAGACTACAAAATAGATAAACCATGGCTTGGCTACTCTTTTCACATACTGTTGTGAGTGACTTCCTGTGGATTGAAACATCACCTCCTGGGGAAACGCTCATGGGACCCTGCTGGGAACTAGAAGCTCCTGACACTCATGTGTTAGGTGCACTTTGCCAAAAAATGACTTTAAATTTGGAGCCGTTGAGTTACCCTGGCAATCTGTTTTATGTTCTATTTCTTAAATGCGTGAACCATGCATATATTCTCATTGTAAATAATTAAATAAAGTAATAAAATCCCCTTTACTGTTTTAACCCTCATCTCCCCCGATGCAGATCTGTTTGGGTTTGGATATGAATTCAAATGTGTGTCCACCTTTTGGTACCTCCGAGCATTGAGATTTTTTTTAGAGTCATCCAGGTGCCTGATGAGCCGCTGGCCGCATGGCTGTTTGCACTAGTGTGTGGATGGAGAGGGCCTTTTTCAGCTGATTGGAGAGGCATTCAGTCTGATGGGGTGACTGGGCATCAAACTCCTGTCTTCTCTATGGCTTGTAACTATGGGGTTTAGTTGGCTGGGGAAATTAAATGGGTTCAAAAGGAAAAGGAAACCAGACTATCTTACTAAAGTACAAGGACTTAGGGCTGACCTTCCCTATAGGGACAGCAGAAGAGACTAGAAGGACATAGAGGCATGATGGGCCCAGGAAAGGTTAGGAAGTTTCATGCAGAGGGGGGAGACTATTAGTATGCACAAGTAAAGCCACAGTGGCCTTTGCTGAAGCATGCAGAGTGATCAGAAAGATCCAAGACACCAGGGCCCAGGGTTACCTTTGTAGAAAGGGGACATTAAGAAGATGGCAGTCAAACTGCCAAGGAGTTTCTCCCTTGGAGAAACTGTCATCTTTTAGGTGATAAAATGACAGAGAGAATTTAGATGTGATTGTTCACAAAGGTGCCGGATTTTCAAAGAGGAAAAGGAACACTGTAGAAAGACATGTTCTAAGCTACCTTATTCTTTGCTTGTAATGAGTGGCAGTTTAACCCAGCATATTAATTACCTCGTAGCTTCTGTGTGTGAAGAGTCCTACGAGGTTTTGATGTAGGTGTTGACCAGGGCTATGCCCTCATCACTTTCAAGTTCCTCTCAGTTATTGGTTGTACCCCATTTATTTTCCTTTAGGGAGTGAGGTAGAGGGGGAGCAGAGAACTGCCAGGATGAACCCCCAAGCAGTGCTGGATTTTACATTATGTAATAGAACCACGAGAGTGACATCTTGTGACATTTATTTGTGGGAGGCATACACTTAGAGGGATCAGATATATAAAGATGTGGTCATCATGTGTTTGGGGCTACGGTGACACTCACAAAGCTTGTCAAAGTACCAAGTGTACAGAGGGCTATTAGAATATTGAATTCACAGAAGAAGGAAGGAGGTGGACCGTCTGGTCCGGGGCTCTGGGGATAAGATGGTGGGAATGTAAGTTTGACACTACAGATTGGGGAATCTTGAAGGTTTAAGGCATTCCAGTTTGGGCATTGTGGAACTTATAAATGGAACATTCCATCCTTGGCCTTCCGAAACCAATGTGTCTGCTAGGAAACCCATTTTTGCTGTCAGTTTCTTATCCATATATTCATTTCCTAAGTAGTCATTCCTTCCAAAAATGCTTTAGAAATGAAATGATAATTGTATTTAAAGTCAAGTGTCTACATTAAAAATGGACCATCGTCTGTAGTTTCATTATTTGGTGAGTTCTTCAAGGCAAATTTACAAATCCCTGCATTAAGAAGCAAGACAAGCTGGGCGGTGGTGGTGCACACCTTTAATCCCAGCACTCGGGAGGCAGAGGCAGGTGGATCTCTGTGAGTTCGAGGCCAGACTGGACCGACAGCCTCCAAAACAATACAAAGAAACCCTGTCTTGTATCTTGTATAAGCAAAAAAAAAAAAAAAAAAAAAAACGAAGCAAGACAAAAGATAGTTGCAACCTTCTTCTCCCAGCACAGTTACTCTGTGGACTCATTGTAGAGATAGAATGAGCTACTTGCTAAATGCATCATGACTTTGTCCTCTCCAGGGAGCAGCTGCTTCGGGAATTGATAGGGAAAAATGTTGTGCCAATATTCAGGAGAGTAAAAGCACAGAGGTGAGACTGTTCAGGGTGGTGTCGGAAACAGTTCTCCAGTGTCACAAAGATGACTGAAAATAATGGCAGTCCCAAATGAAATGGTTCCCTCCTCCCTGGAAGAACTTCAGCCTCTAAAACAGCAATTGTGAGAATGCCTGTGAACCCTATGGGATGTTGGATATGTGACTGTCACCATCTCTTAGCTGATAGCATGCACACTGACAACAAGGAAAATCTTTTCAATCAATTTATGCTTTCTTAAAGATGGCCACCGTGTCAGGGATTAATACTTTTAAAGTATTGTTATCATTTATTATTTGTATTGTTACTATTATTTTTGAGACAACGTCTCACTATGTGTCTCTTCCTGGCTTGGCCTATAACTCACTATGTAAATCAGGCTGACCTTGGACTTGCAGAGATTTGTCAGCCTTCATTTATTTTAAGTGTGTGTGTGTGCACACTAGAATGTGAGAGCAGGTGTCCTTGGAGCTAGAGGTGTTGGATACTTCTGTAGCTGGGATTACAGGCAGTTGTGAGATGCCTGACATGGGTGCAGGAATAGAATTCAGCCCTCTTAATGGTGGATCCATTTCTCCATCCCCTAGGGTGTGTGTGTGTGTGTGTGTGTGTGTGTGTGTGTGTGTGTGTGTGTGTGTAGGATTCTCTTGGGAATCTTTTTGCATTTGTTTGTGTTTTGAGGTAGCATCTAAGCCTCCTGAGTGCTTGGGTTTCTTGTATGCGTCACTATACCCCTGAATCCTTTTGAGAATCTTGCTGGACACTATGGACTTTCCCCCTGAAAACTGCTCACATGAAGGACATTTTATAGTTTTAAGAAATTCTTGAGTAACCCAGCATTATCAACTGTGGACAATCATGCATTCTATATGTACAATCTTAAATTAAATAACTTCAAGATAATAACGAATAAACATAAAATGCACAGTTAAATCCACCTGTACCTAGTGATAGCTGTGCTTATGGATTTGAGTATCACTGTTTAGATATTCTGAATCACTTGTGCAAGAAATTAAATGGAGCCTTCATTACATGTTGGGGATTCTTATGCTAAGTCTTAGATGTAAAGGGTAATGAGGAATGGATTTGTATTTGCACTGAAGTTTTCTTTTCTAATAAAATTTGTAATGTCTCTGCATAGACATTTGTTTTTCTGGTAGAAGTCTTCATGGTATAGTATGGGAGACATGAAACAACCTATAGGGGTTAATCTCTCCATCCCCTATAAAGGTAAAACAATAATGACAGCTTGGATGGGGGGAGGGAAAGTAGAATGAGGACAATGTGTTCTCATTCTTTTAATCACTGTAATAAAATAGCTAAGAAGACAATTTAAGGGATAAAAAATCTCTCTCATGATTGCAGAGATTTTAATCCATGGTCACTATGGGCTGCTTCTGGACTTCTGTATGATTGGTCAGAGAATCTTAGTGAAGTGCTTGTGGTCCAGGAAAGTAACTGACATATGGTGACCAGGTGGCACCGACTGAGGAGGAGGGCTGGGGGCCAGGCATCTTCCTCCGTGGCGCACATCTAGCTAGTGACCTATTTCCTCCAACTAGGCTTTACTGCCTGGCTTCTAATACCCCACAGTAATGCCAGCAAATTATGAATCCATCAAAGGACCAATCCACTGATTAGGCCAGAGCCCACTGGACCAAATCACTTCCCCTAAGTTTTATCTTTAAACACTGCACTGGGGACCAAGGCTTCAACACATGAATTTTAGGGGTACTTTTATGTCCTGACCATAGACAACATCTAGAGCAAACACAG